CAGCCTCCCCACCTCGCCTTTACGGCGAGCCACTTCGAGACCTCCCTCCGCAGCACACCCTCTCCCACCCCCACAGCTCCTCCTTGCTCCCCTCCCGGCCCGTACCTCCTGCTCCTCTTGGACCATCGGGATGTCTCCTCGCCAAAGAGCCGCAGCTGGGGAACACCAGGTCCCCCTCGCCTTCCGCTGCTGTGCGAGGGTGTCAGCCCCCAAGAGAGGAGAGACGGCGACATCATGCCGGCAGCTACGCGAAAGGCCCCACCAGCACAGGGAGGTGAAGCTCTGAGAACCCGCTGAAGGAAGCCCCAATTTCTTTCTTTTCTCAACCAAGGTCTGGACGGATCCTTGGAAGCCCAGCGGAGCCCACGGGCGCCGTAAGGCTGTCCTGCTGATGATCTCCAACAGCACCTTGGGTGGTTTACCCCTGCCCATCACCTCCAGTTCCACCCCCAAGAGCTGCTGTGGCTATGCACCCAGCGCGGGGAGGGTCCAGGACCCCCCGGGCGAGGATGGCAAACGTGGCTGCAGGACCCAAGTGCAGCAAAAAGACCAACCAGGTGCAACCACAGCCACCGCCGCGCGCTGCCCAAGCCTTTTGCATCGCTCGCCCCAGCGCAGCACGCACCGCGGAAGGCAGTGGTGGCGGTGGCGGCGGCGGTGGCGGCGGGCGGGCATGTGCCCCAGCAGGAGCTGCGTTGTCGAGCCAGAACCGCGGAGGGGAACGCGCTGCCCTGACGCTGGCCGTGCCGGGAGCTGAGCTCTGCTCCTCTGTGCCTGCGGACAAACTTCACCGGGAGCGCTCCCCGGCTCCTCCGAGAGCCGTCCACCCCCTCCAAAGAATCACAGAATCGCTGAGGTTGGAAGAGACCTTGGAGACCATCAAGTCCAACCATCAACCTACCCTGACAAAACCACTTCTAAACCGGGTCCCTAAGTACCACCTCTACCCATTTTTTTAAACACCTCCAGGGATGGAGAATCCACCCCCTCCCTGGGCAGCCTCTTCCAATGTTTAATAACCCTTTCCGTGAAAAAGTGTTCCCTAATATCCGATCTAAACCTCCCCCGGCATAACTTGAATCCGTTTCCTCTCGTCCTACCACCTCGTCACCAGGGCGAAGAGCTCAGCCCCCACCTCTCTACAACCTTTCAGGTAGTTGTAGAGGGTGATAAGGTCTCCCCTCGGCCGGGGCTGACGCGGGCGCACAGCCGCCGCCTGACCCTGCTCCCATCGCCCGGGATGCTCCCGCTCCCACGGAGACGCACGCAGGCACCCATCGCTGCGGGGACGCCCTTGGCATCCCTCTGCAGGGGTGGCCCAGGGGACAGAGGACAGCCGGCTCCCGACCACCCCTCCGCCGGTCCCCCCAGCATCGAACGCCGGAGCTCGGAGTTTCCCTCCACAGGGTTAAACCGCTCCCGTTAGCTCTCCCTCTCCGGGTGGAGCAGCACTTCGTGACTAATTTTCTCCTTTTCTGGCATATCAGATGCAGCTGTGGGGCAATTCGATTCATCAAAGTTCCTCCTACCCTCCCGCGCTGCCCTGCCACCGCCTGCCACGCTGGCCCGGGCCACGTGGGGTCGT